AAAGCCTGGAGATGGTGCATAACTCACGTGCGTGCTTGTGCTTGTAGGTGCATATGTGTGTGTGGGCGGACTGTAGGAGCTGTGGCGGAGTTACATGCCTCAACCATCACAATTTGGCAATATAAGTGCCTTGAGCGACCTTTCGCCGTCCTACACACACACTACTCACATCGCTGTGGCCTCGGGGTACAGCGCGGAGGTTGGATCGTGGATGTCGCGGAGGTTTTAATTGTGCTTAGTGCTTCGAAATTATTCGCGTTGTAGTCGCTTTTACCCTTACGCCTTACACTCTTCTTCCTCCTACTCCTCCTCTGCTGGTGCTGGTGCTGCTGCTGCTTCAATAGCCTTTCACTCTCTTCATGCAATATGTCACTTGCGCAACCAACCTACTCACAACAGCACCTTTTCAACAAGTGCCGTTGCGCGCTTCGCACGGACATGTGGCATCACCGAACCACCAATTGATGCACACAGGCCGAGATGTCTCGGCCCTACTTATGTACCGACGTTGCATGGATCAATGATCCGCCTCATCTTTCTTTATGTGCCTCTACCGGCGATGATGTGGTTGGGAGTTTATGTGCAGTCACCTACGCCATCCCACCACTCCTACGCTTGCAACAGTAGTGGGTGTGCGGGATGCAGGTTCCGACGCCACATTGTCACTATAAAAGCGACGAGCAATGTTGAGGGTGGAGAAGATGGTGGCTCTGCATAGCCTCATCGTGTTCGTGGCTTTTGTTCTCGCGAGTGGTGAGTTGCTTTCCACCTCTTCTCTTTTTACCTACCTCCTCCTTCTTCTCATCTAACTCTCCTGCATTCAGTCACTCACCTCCACATTCACCCTTTTAATGCCCTTTGTTGACATGTCATTTGCCACATCATTATCCGCGATTGTAGAAGCAGTGCTGCTTATACTACTGCGTTAACTTCTAATACTGCGTCCCATGAAGGGGTGCGACTACCTTTCGTTTAGTTCGACATGGTATGCGCGTGAAGTGCTAACGCTATAATGTACATGTCGTAGAAAATTCAGTGACAGAAGAGTACGACAGCATGCCAAACATAAATGCTACTCCTCTTGGTCCCAACAGCATTGGTGTGTCATGGAATGTCGACGAAATGGAAGCGCGCGAAGTTAAAATCTTAACAGCTGCTGCCGTACCAACGTCAGAATCTGGTACAATTGTCATTGCATATTTTGTGGTAGTTAATGGCAATTCTACAATTAAAAATTTGGAGCCGAGAACAACCTACACAGTGAAGATTGTTGGTTATCGAAATAAGGCGGAGGAAGAGGTAATCGAATGGACAACCATCGTGGAAACACCTCCACAAGGTGAGCTTCATTTGGCTTGCATGCACTGCCTTGTACACCCATCCACTTCGTTCGCATCGGTGGCACTTCATTCCTCTGCTTTGCACGTGCACAGAGTTGCTGTGTGAGCACTGAGAATGGTCTGT